TGCTGCTGCTGGACCTGGACCATGCCCTGGGTCATGGAAACGTTCATGGCCATGGGGGTCGGCTGGACCATCATGCTGGGAGGGGGCATGGCCATGGCCATGGCCTGCGGCGGCGCCTGCTGCTGCTGTGCCATGGGGTTCGAGAGCGAGGCCGTGGGGACGCCGGGGTTCATGGGCATGGGCTGGGGTGGTCCGTCGGAGGCCATGTTTGTTGCGCGATGGGTTTGTTCTGTTCTGTTCTGTTCTGTTCGGTGGTGGTGGTGGTGTTGCTGGTGTTGCTTTTCGTCGATGGGACTTGGGCTCGGAGTGCGGCGTGTGGGGGATGTCGAAGCACGGTACGGTATGTATGCAGCTCAGCGAGGAGCGGTGCGCAAACTTTGCGGAGGACGGGGATTGGCAGTCGTACGATGTTGTGCTACAGATGACGGTAGGACAAAACCGACCGGTAGGATAGGATATGTACCGTACGTACGGTATCGTAGTTTTTCATCGCAGGGACACAAAACAAAGCCAAACAAAACCCGCGCCTCATCTCGATTTCATTCGTCGAAACCGAGCCAGAGACTATGGCATTTTTCATTGCTGTACTCTCACACCGTAGATCGTACGCATGGTAAGCTACGCTACGTTGCTTGCCGGATCGTATAGCGTAAGTAAGTAAGTACGGTACAGTACCGTACGTACCGGTAGGTCAAGTCGCTCGCAAAGCATGACGCAGCTTCGTCGCGCAATTCTCTGTCATTGTTTCGCGCCATAGTGTACCGTAAAGCTCCGGATCCATTTGTACGATTGGTACGATACCGCACGTACGGTGCGATTCGTTTCTACCGAGGTGTACTGTGTTCCAGTACTGTATTGCGCACTCACTCGTACGTACCGTACGTACCGTTGCTCCGGGGGTTTGGAACGAGACCCCGACCGTTTTTTGGTGCTCCGCAGTGTAACGATGCCCCACAAAATCACCCTGCGATTGCAAGCTCGRACGCGGACGGAAGAAGGACAACTCCGGGCCGGGAAAGGATGCCCACAGAGATCCCCCACCAACACAGTAACCGGCAGCACCACCAACTACTACTACTAGTACTACGACGACGACGACGAAGAAGATGACGATGACGAAGCGACGCTAGGACAGAGAGAACGCACGGACGCAAGAACGCACCACACACAACCGGCACGGCGGCAGGCCAGGCCAGACCGGGGCGGGGCGGGCACGGGTACCTCCCCRGCCATCGAAGAAATCCCCCGCCATGGCCGGCGGTGTTGCGGAGGCGGCGTCGAGGATCCGCGACCAGCTGGCGTCGTCCCCCCTGGCGCTGTCCCCCTCCCCCGACTGGATCGAGGAGTGCCTTTCCTCCCTCGACCGGCGAAACAGAAACCACGGAAGCGGAAACGGCCAAGAGGCCGACGCGGTCCTCTTCCGGATCCTCCACGCCGACCTCCGGGACGTGGTCCGGGGAAGGGCGGGGACCGTCCCCCGCTCGCAAGGGTCCGGGGATCTCTCGGGGGCGATCCGCGGTTCGAGGGTTTCGGACCACGGGTTTCGGAAGCGGCTCCCCCTTTCCTTTTCGCTGCTCTGCCAGCTGGAGGAGGTGGTGGACGTCTCGGTCGGCGCCGAGAAGCGCCTCGAGGCGGGGGATCCGGGGGGAACCAACAACCACAACGGCAGCAACCACAACGGCAGTAACCACAACCGCCGCCACCACGGATCCAGGTTTCCGTCCCATAGGTGCCTCAAGGTCTTGCTCTCCGATGGATTCGACGAAGACGCCGGCCCCGAACCGGCCCGGATCGTCGGCATCGAAACTYYWGCGATCCCCGGCCTCTCGGCCGCCTCCCTGGCGGGGACRAAGRTCCTGCTGAAGGGTCCCCTGGAGGTCCGGCACTCGCTCCTCCTGTTGCACCCGGGAAACTGCGTGGTGCTGGGGGGCTGCGTCCCCCCCATGGCCCGGCGCCAGGCGGAGGCCCTGGGGGAGGCCAGCCGGAGGGGCGGGGTGGGGGTCGATCCGACGATCCGGGCCCTCATCGGGACGGGCACCCTCCTGGAAAGCGAGGAGGACGGGGAGGACGAGGGCAGCCACGAGGCCAGCGGGGACGTGGTCGCTGCCGCTGCCCTTCCACAACCGTTGGGGCCGGTGGAAGCAAGCGCCCCCCGGCCGCTTTTCGCAACGGAAGCGTCGGTTGTTTCGTCTTCGTCGTCCTCCCGCGCACCGCGAGCCACGGGTGTGCCCGCTCGCAACCCGAGCCGCACCGAAGGCTTCGCGGTCGGCACACGGACAGCAAGGGCAGCGGGCCAAGGGACGGCACCGGCTCCGCTTCCGATGCGGAGGCCGGCCACGACCGCGGCATCTCCGCCCGGTGCAAGGATGCGCAATCCGTACAGCAGCCACAGCCACAGCCACAGCCACAGCCACAGCAACAGCAACAGCAACAGCGGCAGCAGGACCAACGGCAACGGCAACACGACCGCTGCCACAAGGAATCCCTACCATCGACCGCAGCAGCAGCAACAACAACAGCAGCAGCAACAGCAGCAACGACAGCAACAACAGCAACGACAGCAACATCAAGAATCGAGGCCGGCGCCTGCATCGAACCACAACCACAACCACAACCGCATCAACACAAACACAAACACCAACAGCAACATCATCAGCAACACCAACAGCAACGAAAGCGACACCGGCCGCCACCGGAACCAATGGCGGGAGATCGGCGCGACCGCCGCGGATTTGGTGCGGGGCGGAACCGAAGGGCACCCTCCGCAACAACAGCAACAGCAACAGGAACAGCAACAGCAGCTGCGGGACGCGCCACCGGCCACCGCCACGGGGAAAGCGACACCGTCTCCCCCGCCGCCCCAGAACAGCGTGACGCCCACGCCGTCCGCGGCGGCCCCCTCGCGATCCGGTCCCAAGAGCCCGGGAAGCACCGCGAGTGCAGGGACGAGCACGAGCACGAGCACGAGCGTCCAGAAGATCACCTTTGCCAACCTCCGCAAGCTCCTCCTCGCCCTCGCGGGCAACCGGGAGATGTACGAATCGTACGCGTGCAGGAACGACAAACCGATCGTCTTTCTGGTCGAGCTCGMRGCGCGGGTCAAGAACCAGGCCGATCTCTACTTCGACGTCGTCCGGGCCAAAAAACGCGGGGACAAGGCCCGGACCAAGGGGAAAAAGTACGAGTACTTTGCGTCGGCCCGGTTCTCGTGCGGGGCCAGGGCCGGGCCCGCAAGAACGCAAGGCAGCRGAGAGGAATCCACCGTCTCGTGCCGGATCCACCCGCGGTGGATCGAGCCCCACTTTGTCGTCCCCGCCCACGAGCTCCGCGCCCTGAACCGGACCAACCGCTCCGAGTCGCTGCGGATCACCAACGAGTGCGGGGAAAAGGTCCGGAGGACCTATTTCTCGCCGCGGAGGTGGAGGGCGACCCTCAACCCGGAGGCCGACGAGGTCTTTGGGGGCAAGGGCGGCGAAGCCCGGACGGCTTTGGAGAAGCTAGCGGACCTGAAGCTGCCCATCTTGGTTCTGGAACCGGGGGACGAAGAAGACAGAGCAAAGAACTAATAGGAATACTAGTACTAATCATAATAGCCGGGGTTGCGTTATTGTAGCGGGCCGCATCGAATCGAATCGAATCGAATCGAATCCAACAACTAAAATCCTTTCGCGATTACAGTAGTGTACTTCGTAGTTAGCTTGGCAGTCGCGGCGCCCCGGTTTCGTTGGCTCCGGACGGGTCCAGAACCCGCTCCCACCAGGACCGGGAACACATCTCGAAGATGCGGCTGGAGGACCGCTCAAAGGCAAACGAGAGCTCTCTCACGCTGGCCAGGGCACCGACCGGGGTTCCTCCCTCCTGGGCGACGTCGATCCCCAGCGGCTCGAGGGGGGCGCCGCGTTCGCTGTCCGTTTCGCCGTGGCTGTCGCCGTCGTGCGGGGTCGGGAGTGGTTGGGCACAAGCCCGAAAGAGGTCGGTCGGGGCCTCGGCGTCGAGCGCGGAGCACACCAGGGCGCACTTTCCCTCGTAGAGCTCGTCGATCAGGGTGATGAACCGCCGCGCCCGGTTGTGCCCCTCCAGGTCCATGGCCGGAAGGTTCTCCAMGACTACGATYTCGAAGGCGTTSGCAATGGCGCGATAATCCATGGCACCGAGGTCCGCGTCGCAGAGCTCTTCGAAGGACAACCGCGCCATTCTCGGCGGAAGCCTTCCCTCGTCGTCTCCGTAGTATGCCTGCCGGATGGTCAGGCTCCGGTTGAAGCCCACCTCCAGTTCGACCGATCGGGGCTSTGTTTTGGCACCACGGCAGCCACCTTTCGAAACGCATTCTGCGGCCAGCTCTTTTACGAGCGCGTCGACTTTTTCTGTGTCGATTCGGCCATCGGTCCCACTGTCTAGCCGGATGAAAAAGGAAGAACAGTTCGAGAGTAGCCTTCGGTAATCCCGTTCCGATGGAATGTGATAGGTGATGCAATGGTGCTCCAACAGATCGATAAAGGGAAGAAAGTACGACCGGTTCAGGCCTCCCTCGTACAAGTCTTTGGGCGGTCGGTTGGAGGTAGCGACGACAACCGTTCCGTGCCTAAACAACACCGAAAAAAGCTGGGACAAGATGACGGCATCCGCAATGTCCGTGACCTGAAACTCGTCGAGACAGAGAAGGGAAAGCCTAGAAGCTATCTTCAGGCCGGCCTTGTGGATCGGGTTGTTGGAAAGGGACGTGTCCACYGAAAAACTCCTGCCGTTTTCCTCTAGGTCCTTTTGTTTCAGCCGGTGGACGGTGGCGTGGATCTGCGAGAGAAAGTCGTGGAAGTGAAACCTCTGCTTCCGCCCCTCGCCCGGGACCCTGGCGTTYTCGTAAAAGGAATCCATGAGCATCGTCTTGCCCGTTCCAACGTTTCCGTACACGTAGAGCCCCCTCGGAATCTTTAGCGCCGGCACCGGCGGACGAGCCCCGGGGTCMGCAACAGTGGGGTCCTCGCTCCGCTCGTCTCCGGTGGAAGCCTTCCCCTTGCGTTCGTCTCGCTTGCGGCCGGGTCCGTCCGCTGGTTCGGGACCCCCGGTCTCCCGGAAGAGCACCGAGTTGTCGTAGTCGACGAGGGCCGCCTGCAGCCGGTCGAGCCTCTTGGCAACCTTCTCCTGGGCCCGATCCGGCCGGAGGGCCTCRGACCGGACCAGTTCCCGCAGCGCCCCCAGCGTGGATCGGCGACGCCGACCGAGCGGGRGACGARCCGGGGACCCGGTGGAAGCCGGAAAAGAGCGGGCGTGCACAAACTCCCTGCCCACGGCCGGGCCGAAGGACAACGGCCGGGAACCGCCGGTTTGGAACGCCGGAACCGAACGCAGAGAAGAATCCCCAAACCGCTGCAGGATGCGGGAACGCACCAGGCTCCCCGCTCTCGATGGGGGACGACAGGCGGTCGCCATGCTTGTGCTATCGATTTGCCTCTGCTAGTTTGGTGGAGACGTTCGGTGATCCATTTCTGCCGTCTTCCCCTCCGTGGTTTCCGTAATTCCGGAGGGAGGTTTTCTGCAGCACTCGAGTCGTTCCGACCGAAATGGAGGGGAGAAATTCTCGGCTTGCGGATTTTGCAAGTTTTGGGAACTTGGGATTTGAAAAAAAAGTGACTCAGTCGGTGCACAATCGATTGGGTACTGCTTTAGATTCTTTTTTCGGCGTGCCGTTTTGAAGTTTCGCCTCGCATCGTCTGCCCTTCATGGCTGCTTCCTACCGTAATTTCGTTTGGGGCAGACGCCCCCCCCCGCCCGTTCTTCGCGCCAAAAGGCGGTCACCGGCACGTTTGTGGTAGGCAGCTGGAGGCCTGCTGTCATTGCCGCCACCACCACTGCTTATGGGAATCCGGATCGTTTTGAAATGGATGGCGAGACGGCGAGGTCGCGCGACGCACTCAAACCAATCTGTTGCCGGGATCTGTCGGGCAGAACGAGTACGAGTTGCTACCATACTCTACGGTACGTTACAAGTACGCACCATCAGCCTGACTGGCGGGAAACCAAGCAGCTACACCACCGATCCCCCCCGTGTAGGGAGGAGGAGGATGGTGGTGATGTTGCACGTGCTTTTGGTACGATCAATCGTACTCGTAACTAGCGTTTTTGGGATTGCCACTGTGTTGCTCCTSTACACGCACTCGTACTCGTAAAAAACTAACACGACGCACTGCTGCTGCCGCCGCCGCTAGTAAACCACCACACGGCGAAGGAGAAAGGGGATACGATACGAGTTGCCCTACGAATCCCATACAGGACGACCAAAGAATTTCTTTCGTTCTGATTGCGTCGCACCTCCTCTGTTCCGATTTGCTTCGCGGGAAGAAATCGATTGGGCTTCCGATTCAAAACGAGACGAAGGATTTTCTCGAGAGCAATCTCAGAAAGAGGCTAGGACACCGACCCCAGCTAGGCACAACTCCATTCTTCACAGCGCCCAGGCAGCGATCATAGGTCGGACGAATAACTCCCGGGACGAGACGAAACGAAACGATAGCAGCAGCAACAGCGACAGYAGCAGCGAGCAACGACGATCGCGACAAGAATGACGCCAGAATTACACGATAGCACCACAATACGGCACCCGTTGTTCACCGGACGGGAAACGCCGGAAAGGGCACAATCTGTTCTCCAGTGTCCGGTCTTGCTCCACCGGAGCAATGGCAATGGCAATGACAAGCAAAGACACAGACACAAACACAGGCGAAGGCACGCAACGATGGTGGTTCTTCTGGGTTTGATCGCTCTCTTGGACCACCGGGGGGTTCTCGCCTTCCAGACGCCCTCGCCCCACCACCACGAGAACCACCACGAGAACCACCACAACGGCAACCGCCGGCCGCGAACGGTAGAAGACAAGTCGACCGGAACGGGCTTCCCGAGGACGTCCACCCCCTCCGACCGGGGAGACCGGAGGAGCAGCATGTTTTCGCCGCAGAAACGCCAGGAGCCCCGGGGGAACGGGCCCAGTGGAGCGGCCGGGGGAAAGAGCCGCCAGAGGGTGGTCCCGAGCATCTGGGACACCTCCGCCCCGGTTCTGGTGGAGGCCTCGGCCCTCCGGACCTTTGGCTTCGAGCGGCCCGACGTCGAGCGGGTCCAGGTCCTCCTCAAGAAGCACGACGCCGTGGATCCCTCCAGCGGCAGGAGGCGGTCCTCGGGAGAGCCCCTCATCGCCCGGGTGGACCTCTGGCACGGGCCGGACTCGACGCCCCAGAACCTCGCCATCTACCTGGAGGAGGAAGCCGACGAGGACGGCGACGACTACGACGAAGACTGGGGCGCAAGCGGGAGCGCGGCCCAGGGCCATTCCCCCCGCGAAAGGAGCAGCAGCAACGGCAACGGCAATGCACACACGTCAAGCGTAGACACCCCCTTTAGCACCATCATCGAGACTCCCCAGGGGCACAACACGATCGCGATCCGCAACATCGCCGAGACCTCGGACCTCCTGGCCTGCGTGGAGGGAGAAGAACGCGACTACGACTACGGACACCAAGAGAGCTGGTTCACGCCCAGCGCACCCCCCGCAAGCGACAGCGGCCACAGCCCCCTGCAGTCGGTCATCCAGCGGCTCAAGGCAACCACCACGCCGCAGCGCATCGACTCTACCATCGCCAATCCCAAGCACACGCAGGGCGAAGGCTACCAGGACTACGATGACTACGACGAAGACGACGAGGCCAACCAGCCGGTCGTCGGTTCCTGCGCGGTGGAGCTCCCCTCCAACATTGCCAGCGTCCAGGTCCTGCTGCAGACGCAGTTCATGCAGCCCCTCCAGGCCCGGATCGAGCTGGAACTCCGGGAGGGAGACAGCGAGAACACCCCCACCGGCGGCTACAGGGTCGTCAAGAGGACCATCGTGGAGGTCTTCAGCGAGGACGGGATGCACCGGCCCTTCTTTGCGGTCCTGGAGGCCCCCCGGAAGGCCGGCTGGTTCGGGAGCGAGAGCGGAGCCGCGCCTCCCTCGCGCTACACCACGAGCATGCGGGTGGTCAACCTCTCCACCACCGAGTTTCCCCTCTTTGCGACGGTCGAGCCGCACGCCGTCGACGACCACGAGCCCCGGCGGCGGCCGGCCCCGTCCGGGGACCAACGCGGAGAGGAAGCGGGGGACGGCCCGGGCGCTTCCCAGCCCGAGTGGACCCACTTTGGGGGCGGGAGCAGCTTCGACGCCGTGTCCAACTCCACGATCCTGGACGCGGAGATCTTGTAGGCCGGCGGTCAAAAAAGAGCGGTCTGGCTGGCTGGCTGGCCTTGTCTAGCAAAACGGGAGGGGACGGACAATCGAAAACGAAACGAAACGAAACGAAACGAAACAGCTAGGAGGAACACCGCCCGTGAACGAAACACGCACCTAACACGAGAAGTATCCATCCAGCGACCAAGTCTTGCAAGGGTGCCGAACCGCCGAGRCCGASCGAGCGAGCGATTGTCTCTCAAMACCGGTGCCGCTGTGAGCGGGAACGCCAGGCACCAGACACGACGAGAACGGTGGGAAGCGGGGGCGTGGCGCCATGCATCCGCGACGATCAAGAAGCAAACAACGGGAACAGGGAGCGGCGCAACACCCCGCGAGACAACACGAAACGAAACGAAACGAAACGAAACGAAACGAAACGAAACAACACGGTGTGAGACCGCAGAACCCACGGTGCAGGGAAACACCAACCACGAAACCAAAAACAGAAAAAGAGCGCACTTACAGTAGAAACAATAGTAGTAGTAGTAGTAGCAGGACAATAGTGTACRGCCCGAACCGAGATTCGACACGAGTTAACAAAGACAAGAACCAAACCCAACTGCTGGGGTAGCTGACCGTATTGTAATACAGTAGTACTACCTAATGAAACGTTTGCTGATTGCCACAGTATTAGTACTTTTTGTATTTTGGGTTGGCACAGACCCCTGTCGAGGGCCGCGGCTCTACGGGTACGGGGAGTACGGTATGATTCTTGGCAACTACCGTAGTTAAATACTTCCGGTACTGTACTAGTTTTTTTGTGACCCGATTGGAGAAAAAGACGTAGGATCCAGTACACATTCAACGAAATTAGGACACGTTTGCCCCCGAAACATGGACCCTTCTACCATACGTACGTACGTACGTACGTACGAATACTGGGACCACACGCGATTCCGTACATTTCCTCGATCGATCAACCACCATCGGCCATCATCCGTTACAGCACGATACGATACGATACGATACGATACGATACGATACGAATATCACGAAACTTCTGCCGCCAAGGCGCAAAGGAACTCAGCCCCGTGGTGGTTGTTCCTTGTTGTTGCGTTCCAACCTGCCGGAACAGACCTGGCCGTTGCACCACMAAAAGCATTCCCTCCCTCTTCCTCCTCCTCCCTTCCGGTCTACCCACTCACCCCACCCCACCCCACCGCTCCGAGATGTCGTCGGTGTTTCTCCCGCCCGACAAGACGAGGCTGGTGACGATTTGTGCACACGGTGCGTCGTGTTTCTTTGTTTGCAGAATCTTGTTGGCCTCGTGCATTGTCCCGTGAAACGGCGGTGGCCCGACCGAATCGCTCGCTTGTTCGGTACGCGTGCTCGTGTGGTGTGGTGTGGTCTGGTCTGGTGTTTCGAACCCTTCTCTCAACGACGACCCCGCCCGTGTTTTTTTCTTGTTTGCGTGTTTTTTTTCTTTTTTTTCCGACAGTCGACCATGGGTATGTTTCCAACAGCGTGTGTCCAACGAACCGTGTCCCGCTCGCACCGGATCCCCCCGCGGGGTCGTGCGGTGCCGGTGCCGATGCCGATGCCGACGCCGATGCGGCAGAAAACACGGATCGCTCGCTATCCGCAGAACTTGTGTTTCGTCGTGTGTTCTCTCACCTGCCTTTCTTCCAACCTTGCTCGGCGCCGATGGTCCACCAACGCACCGCAAACCATTCTCAAAACGGAACGGGTGCTGGGATGGTTTTCCGTGGTGCAAACCAACGAATGACGGCCACAACACCACATTAACGAACGAACGAATGAACGAACGAACGAACAAACGATCCAGGAAAACGACGCTGGCCGACAACCTCATCGAATCGAACGGGATCATCTCGGAACGCCTCGCGGGGACCCTCCGGTACCTCGACTCGACCGAGGAGGAACAGCGCCGGGGGATCACCATGAGGGCCTCGGCCATCGGCCTCCGCCACGGCTACAGGCCGTCGAGCGCGGCGGCCGCGAACGCTTCCAGGAAGAAGGGCCTCGACCCGGCCTCGGCCTCCCCGATCGTCGTACACCTCCTCGATTCCCCGGGCCACACCGATTTCTCGACCGAGGTCAGCAGCTCGCTCAAGTGCTGCGACGGCTGCCTGCTGGTGGTCGATGCCGTCGAGGGGATGTGTGCCCGGACCCAGCAGGTCGTCCGGGAGGCCCACTCCCACCAGCTCGTTCCCATACTGGTGATCAACAAGATYGATCGCCTGTGCACCAACCTCTCCCTGACCCCCGGRGAGGCCTACGTCAGGCTCCGGTCGCTGATCGAGACGGTCAACGCGGCCTGTGCTGCCATGCTGGTCTCCAAGCGGGCCAAGCGCAAGGAGGACGGCGACGGCGAGAGAGGCCACGACGACGAGGAGGACGAGCGGGAGGAGGCCCGGTGGACCTTTGAGCCCCAGAGCGGGAACATCATCTTTGCCAGCGCGCTCTTCGGGTGGGGCTTCACCGTTCCGTCGCTGGCCCGGTCGCTCTTCAAGAGCAAGGTCCTCCCCATCAAGCCGGCGGCGCTGCAGCACTATCTCTTTGGAGACTTTTACTACAAGGAGGAACAGAAAAAGATGATGAAACTCAAGGCGAACCCCGGCCAAGACCACCAGGAGCCCCTCTTTGCCGAGTACGGCCTCCGACCCCTGTGGGAAATCTACGAGGGCGTGGCCGCGGCGGCTTCCGCGTGCGGCCTCGGGTCCACGATCTTCTCCGACGGAAGGACCGGATCCTCGGCGACGGACCACAACAGCAACAACAACGCCAAGATCCAGGCCGACACCCCGGGGATGGACCGGGTGCTCCGGGCGATGCAGACGGGGGGGACGTCCACCGCGGGCGACCTAGCAAYGCCTCACTCCCTCCAGCAGGTCATGACCCGGACCGGGTCGGCGTCCTCCGAGGAAGCCGTCCTGCGGTCCCTGCTGCGGCGGTTTCGGCCGCTGAGCGAGATCGTCCTGAACTCGCTGTACGAGCTCTGCCCGCCTCCCCCCGAGGCCTCCGCGGTCGTGCGACCGAGGGCCCTGGCGCTGGCGGCACCGGGYACGAACGGGGGCGAGGCGGGCGGCGAAGCCGGGGAAGCCTTCCAGAGGGTGAAAGAGGCCGTTCGGGTCTGCGACGTGTCGACGGAGGCGCCCGCCGTTGCCTACGTGTGCAAGTTCATGGCCACGGACCAGTCGCACATCCGGGATCCGGGAAGCACCAACGACAACGACGACACCGTCATCCTGGGACTGGCGCGGGTCCTGAGCGGTCGGCTGAAAACGAACAGCAGCTACCACGTCATGGGACCCAAGCACAAGTTCCACGACCCCGGCACGATWAAGAGCCGCCCGATCCGGCTGTTTTTGCTCATGGGGTCCTCCTTCGTTCTGGTAGACGAGGTCCCCGCCGGCCATCTCTGCGCGATCCAGAACCTAGAAAACGCCCAGTACAAGACAGCCACCATTTGCGACAGCCCGTACGGGATGCCGCTCCTCGGGTTCTCGGATCTGGAGATACGGCCCCTGGTCAAGGTCAACGTCGAGGCCGTAGATCCTTCCGATACGTCCGTGCTGGAAAAGGGCCTGGTCAAGCTGAGCCTGGCCGATGCCGCCGTCGAAGTAACGGCCACCGCGAAGGGCGAACGAATCCTGGCGTGCCTGGGAGAGCTCCATTTGGAACAGTCCATCCTGGACCTGCAAAAGGTATACTGCGACAAGAAGGAAATCCGGCTGCGGATATCGGAGCCYATCGTGGAATTCGGCGAAACCACGGCATGGTTCGGCGACAACGAATTCGACTTTGAGGGCTTTTTGTCCGAAAAGAGCCAAAACGTTCCTCCCCTGAGGCAGCTGACCATACCGCCCTACAACGAAGAGGAAGGAAACGAATTCGCCAAACTGGGTCGCTCGCGGACCATTGTTTCGGGACGCGTTGCCGCGGTTACCCTGAGGGTTATTCCCCTGGATCGGCTGGKCTACAACTCTCTCAGAGGAGCACAGGTCAGCGAAGACAGCCTCGATGCCATAAAGTCCTTGGGGCGTGCATTGGGGTTCGCAGAGGATCTCGATCCCGAGCTCATAGTCAAAGCCCTGACGGACTCGTTGGTTTCACAGGACGACAGTGGAAATGCTCTCGTCGTAAGCTCCGCCCTCGAGAGCGGGTTGACGGTTGCGGGAGTAGCATCCGAAAACGACGAGGTGTACGTCCCCGACAAGTTTGCGACGCTCGACGCTCAAAACGATGGCGAGGAATACGACAAAGACGAGGAACAGAAAACCGAGGCTTGTGGTGTCCGGGAGTACGAGTCGGTTCGGAGAGAAATACGCGGGAATGGATTTCTGCCAAAGACCTGCGAGCGAGAGGCACGAACGCCGGGGCCCTGCGATGCAGCCGCACTCGAAACATGGAAAAACCAAATGAAGGGTTCTCTCGTTGCCGGATTTCAGATGGCGATGCGGGCAGGACCAATTTGCGAAGAGCCGGTGCGCAGTGTCTTGGTGGTCCTCGAAGGTCTGGAAGTGGCACTGAAGGAAGACCAGGGTTCCGAGGGCGGGTTTAAAACTGCCAACACATTGAGCGGTGGAATGATGGCTGCCGCCCTTCGAATAGGGATCCGGAGTGCCCTGCTGTGAGTTCTGATTCAATCCTAGTGTTTTGCTACCTTCAAAATCATTCATTTTCCAACGAAGCAATGCTTTCTACGTCAACCTCATGTTTCTTGTTGTCGGTGTCGGTGTCGTTGTCGTTGTCGTTTTTTGTTTCTTTTCCACCCATCCACTTGAAGATCGAGACCAGCAAGGTTGGTCGAAAGTCATCTGAAATTGACTCTGAATTCTTCGTTTGCGGGCCTCGGATCTCTCTATCCCGTCCTGTCAAAGCGAAGAGGGAAAGTTCTCGAGGATTCCATGGTCGATGGGACGGATTTGTTGCTGATTTCTGCAAACCTGCCTCATGCCGAGTCGTTTGGGCTTGCACCGGAATTGTTCCGGCTGACCAGTGGAGAGGTTACCGCGCCGGAACTTATTTTTTCGCACTGGGAGATCCTAGACCAAGATCCATTCTGGATCCCGACCTCGCTCGAAGAACGAGAAGACTTTGGAGAGATTTCGCAGAGCGGGGACGTGTCTACTGGAATGGACAACACGGCACTGAACTATATCCGAAAGGTTCGCGAACGAAAGGGTTTGCTGGTGGATTCCAACAAGACAGTAGTCGCCGCAGAGAAGCAGAGAACCATCAAGCGATAGCTGTCGAGTACGAAGTAGGTTTTAAACAGCATACTTTTCATCATGATTTCTTTCAAATTGCTCAGAGAATCTCGCAAAAAAGAAACACCCTTCTTGGATACTTATATGGAACGAACGTGCCATAATTCACCCTCACGAAAAAGGCAAACACTACACAAGTGACTAAGCCGTGCGGAGGCGCGACAAGCCAGGCGACGCCGCATTATAAAAGTACGAGGATGCATTAGGGAGGCTCGGTGGGATTCACGGAACTGAACCTGGTGAGGCCAATATGAGTTTGTAGTGTGCACAATCGATCTGTAAAACTAGGATGCTTGCTCCAGTTGAACGGGGCACGAACGCTCGTTTATGGAACTTTAAAATAAAATCTCTGAAGTTATCATAGCAATCGCGGCGTATAAGTCTTATCTATGGTATGCGAGGGAAAATTCGCTGGTCCATACCTGATTGTCTTGACTCGCACTTATTTGTTTCGACGAGAGTCGGTGGGAATGCCTCATGCGTATTTCACATCGCAATGGCGATTTCTAAAAGTCGTCGGGCTCGATCTTTTCTCGTCGGTACCCCCGTGCATCCTCGCCATCGAGCTGGACGCTCTCGCCGCCGATTCCAAAAAATCCGGTCTTCTTCTTGGGCGGGGGGGGAGCACCGGTGTCTTCTTGCTCGACGGGTGCCGTCAGTGTTTCACCGAGCATGCTTCCTAGCTTTCCAAAGGCCTTGACAAAGTCCCCGGGTGTCAGAGGCTTTTCTTCCTTCACCTCGATGCGGACAGGCGATTCGTAGTTTTCGTCCATCATCACCTCCTCCGACTCTTCGTATTCGTCTTCGTCTTCGTACATGTTCTGGCCTTCTCCGAGTTGGTTGGAGAGGACCGTGAACAACTGTCCCACGGGGCCTCGGTAGAGGACAAGATTCAGCCTTCCGGGTTGCTCCTGGAGCTTGCCCATGACCGTGTCAAAGTCTCTTCCGATGACGACCTGCTCGTTGACCGCCAGCAATTGATCTCCCATTCGAAGACCGGCCTTGCCCCCATTCATTCCTTCCGAAACATCGTCGACAACCAGGCCGAGGTATGGATCCGGGTTCTCGCCGAAGATCACACCAAGTGGCTTGGGTACGGTGATCTCGTAACAATCCACCCGCTGGATCATTTCTTCGTAGGTCATGGCGGCCATGGAGAGCGCGGACGACGAACCCACGGGGGAAACCACCATCGATCGGTGGGCATGCTGCGACACGAATGCGGCAACGGTCTGAACGCTGGCGAGAAGGAGAAGGAATCGGGTCAACAACATCTTCGTGGTAGTGAAATACTGAATGAAAGCTTGCGTTGGTATTGGTTTGTCTCTGTTATGATGCTGTCCCTGTTGGTTGATAAGCTGAACGGAACAATGTCATGCATCACACTCAGAATGTTTTTCTACGAACAAGAAACGCACGGTACGAGTATGCTATGATAGCGAACACTTTCTATGGTACGGTACGTACGTACTCGCACAAGAAGGTATCTATCTAGCCTACGTACTCGTAGAAGTCAGAGGTGACTCAGTTGAAAAATAACCGCACGAAAGCAACACGCGCTCCTGGTGATGATTGGGTTTTGTTGATGATGAAGATGCGGAAGATGATGATTGACAAAGATTTTTGAGTCTCAAAATACAGTCGACGACCCAATGAGAACGGCGCAAAGAGTTCGGCTCAAAAAGATCTGCTGTCGTACTAGATATCATAGATAGTCCATATGACATACTCGTACCCTTATACCTAGGACTTGGCGCTTTGATAGTTGAGTGAAAGTACAGTACGTACCTGTAGTTTACAACTCTCTTGAAAATTCTTCAACATGATACTATTACAATTACAATTTACATCACTAACTACCCAATGTTACGCAAGATGATAGAAAGTGATTAATGAATTTTAAATTTTGGAAACAGTACAATGACAAGAACGCAGGTTTTGTCGAGTCATAGTACCGATAGAGTACGGAATACGCTATATCAACCGTTCATAGAATAGGAAACCATGCAGTCCAAGTTTGATGTGAAGATCTCGTAATAACCAAAGCTCAATCACGGGTGTCCATTCTATGGTCGGTATATCTTTATGAATTCGCAGCAGATATTGCAGACGGGGCAGGTTGATAGATTTTTACTGCACTTGAGGCAACATATTTGATGTCCACAGGGAGTGATTACGCAATCAATGGTATTGTCACAACATAGAATGCACTGTGTGTAATTTTTGAATTAGGATAGAACAAAATGAAAATTGTTTAGCAAAATAGACCAGTTCATTCATTAAATTTTATTGTAGGTTCTCTCAACTTACTTTTTCTGCATCTGTTCTTTTGCTAGCTGAACCATCAAATTCGCTTCCTGAAAATGTCGCATCGGCGCCGAGTGAACTAGCGACGGAAGTACCTCCATCGAAAACCTCGTCATCCCATCGATGGTTGAAACCGTCACTTCGATATTCGCCTATACTACTCGGAATTGCATTTAGCACTGCTTCCAAAGCTCTTAAGGATCCCTTCAGATCTTTCGACTCGTAAACAGAGACACCTTTATCGACTACCAAATATCGAAGGACATTCACGTGCAAAGCGTCCATCGCAATCGTGAGAGCAGATCGATTCTTAGATGTGAGGATCGGGAAATCTTGATTAGCCGCTTTCTTGCCGCCAGTACGAATGAGCTTCACCGGACAGAAATGATCTTCCATTAACCATTGAACAATATCTAGATTCCCTCCTTCCACAGCGCAATGAATAGGGTACATGACTTCCTCCTTTTTACTCGAAAACTGTGGAAATGGAGTACGCAAGTTAATGTTCCCAGTTCCGTATAAAGCCACGGCTTCCTCGTAGTCCCCTTCGAGCAATGCCCTTTTGAAAGCACCACTAAGAAAGTTACAACTTTTGCAAATTTTTACCTGTGATTCCTTCTTCAGGTTATAAGTTTCAGGAATGGCTTTTGAGGGCCATGTAGTGGAGCACGAATTGCAGATACAAACTCCACAATTTCGGCAGTGACTGGCCCGGCGGAACATAGCAAACTTGCCTTGGCAAACGAAACAGTTAGAGTTATCGTCGAATTTCATCATTTTGGGGGGTGCATTCGCAATTGCAGATTCCCTTGCTTCCTTCTCAGTAGGAAATGAGAAGGCCTTGAGGTATCTTGAAGCCTTCGCAGGGTTTTTAGCTACACCCTTTTGATTAGTATTGATAGTAGCGATCCACAAATTTGACGCTGTGTTGTGGTAAACAGTGGCAGTAAGTAAAATTCTGGAATGAATCCTTTCTGGCTGCTGCCATGCACCAAGGGTCAACGGAGAAGGAGAATTTGTTCGAGGTAAATAAGCACATTTTGCATCCTTCGATACATGATCACCAAAGAGTTTTTCCATCATCGGCGATCTCTTCTTTATCGATTCTGTACCAGTTTTGTCCATTGCGTCTGATTGTGCTCTACCAAAGCTGATATCCCTTCCTATGTTGGGATCGGAGGAAGAAAAGGAGTTATCGTCTTTGCCTCGACGAGAGCGYGATGATATCGATACACCACCGTTAGAAGGGCGGCGTTGGTGTCGACTCGAACCGCCAATACTACGACCATCGTGCATCGGGTTTCGCCGTTCTCTACTTGTCTGAAGAGAATTAGGCGGTCGACTATTGGATCGAGTGCGACTCACAGATCTATTCCTTGGAGGGGGATTCCTGCTGTTTGATCGTGAACGGTGGTGTGTTTCTGGAAGACGATTAGCTCCTATAGGAGATGTTACTGGAGGACGGCTCAAGTTTCTCAATTTCGTGTTAGGTGTTCGAACTTTGCTTCGAGCGCTTTTACGACTAGCGCTGGAAGAGCGTTCTCTTGCGGCTGGCCGACTTTGACTTAGCGACCTACCTCGTCGGGTTGGTGGTATAGGTGCGATAATTGGATCCGTCTGATGTTGGGATCCGTTACGATCCCGTGCTCGGGATCTTCCTCGAGATAAGTCCCTTTTCGACCTTTGGATCGAAGGAGATTTGGTTCGATTTGAGTTATGTGATGCCAATGATACATCAATCGAAAGCGGCGCTGTTGCTCTAGGCCTAGAAGAACTCCTAGTGGGAGACCAACCAACAAAAGAGGACGAYGATTCGGATGATGATGATACCGGATTCGAATCATCTCGTGATGGTAGGGGACTTTTCGGAGCTTTTGGTGGGCGTTTTTTGTGGGCAATCACGGGATTATCTTTGTTGAGTTTTAAGTGGCAGTTTGCTGGCGGTGGTGGYGGGATAACTGGTGCCCAAGACGCATCGGAATTGATCGGTTTCTTCATCCATGTCGCTACGGTTATGTCGTCTTTGTTGTTTTTCTCAGCAAAATCTCTTTTGTCACGTCGACCAAATCCTTGATCAATAGAACCAAGTGATGTTTCGAATCCAGACGAATCTCCATCATCAGTAAATGCCACCCAATCAGAGTTTGAGTCGTTCAGTACCATCTTTGTTGGATTCTATCGATTGAAACCACACAGGTTGCTAACACGAGGGTTGCTCGTAAGTATCAACCGGTATCCCTCACTTTGCTAAAAATGAAAGAAATATTTGTCAGAGGATCGGTCGACCCACTGCTGTCAATGGTCAAATTGCTTATTCCTGTCCTCTGCTAACAATTGCAGTTTTGTTCGGTCGTGTGAGGTGAATTAGGAGTTGACCGATAGCTGATGCCTCTTTTGGTGCAACCGTCAAAAGAAAACGGATTTTTTTGCTCCATTCAAAAAACCCAAAAAAATACTTCCCGGCTCCGCTTTTTTTAAAATCGGCGATTCATGTCAGCGCGCGTCTCGCTAATCTCTGTGTGCTCGTACTGATAGTTCAATTGGATTCAATTGGATAAGTACGACTGTACGTACCAAAGAATTCGAATCATCGATCCCTAAATCAAACGGTAATTCACTCGTGAATAATAAAATCAGTCATGGATCGTTTTTGATTCTGTCACGATTCGAACCGGGACCTCAGCGAAAACCTTAGAGCTGCGTTAGTCGTACTAGGTACAAGTACTGGTACCTGTTCGTTTACCGTTCGGTTCCTAKTTCCAACTCTCCAGTACTACGCATGGTCAAAATCAGTGTGGGTTGGATCCATCGCCCTACAGAAGATATTCTACAACAGCTAAATTAACAAGGAAGAATAGTGCTTCGTAGTTCACAACCAGCTGAACAGAAAAACCCGACGCCATTCAAATTTGCTTCCTTTGAGGGAAAGCGACAAGAAGTTAGAACAACCGATCAAAGAATTCATCAGAGGCACGTTTTTGAGCCAGTGACGCGAMAGAAACAAAGAAGCAAACTTCGAAAATGGGACACGTGGCTAGTATCATTTTGATCGTGCAAAGGTTGGCCGTATGGCTGTTGGTGAGCACAATGTTTACCTCTTGCAGTCATCTTGCTTTTACCGAAGCGAGTGGCAGCGRCAGCGAGAGTAGCACGGCATCCGCGATTGTTTCTGCCACGAAGGATGTTATGGACGGAACGGAACGCATCGGTCGCATTCGTTATCACTATGATTCCAATCCAATCTTGGGGAGAACCACAGACGATGACAGCCGAGAGAACCTAGAAGGGAATAGTTGGGACCCATCSCAACAGCCTTGTTCGGACGTAGTGATTGTAGGAGTTGGAACCGGAATGTCGGTTGAAGACTATGACAAGCTTGCAAAACGCATAGTAAATGCAACACGGAAACAATCTTTTCTTTTCATCGTATCGGATCACAATCCGAACCGCTTGACCAAACTGTCCCCCAATCAATATKCTGGACTTGCGAATGCCATCCGAAATCAAATGCACAGCGGTCTCATACCAATTTGTAGCAGCTATCTAGCCGAAAACACAMACCACAGCAGCAATTACTCTTCATCCACAATCACTGCTAATGGTAATAAGCAGCGACTTCTACCCGCAATAGCACGACAGCAACACAGAGTTCTTCAGGATCGTAGGCCAACGATGACGAATTTCTTTATCGGAGGCCATTCAGCAAGTGGACAAGCAGCTTTGGAAGCAGTCCAAAAGGAAATGTACGACTTTGTGCCAAGGGGATTTGTGGGACTAGATCCATATGATATTTCTGAAAAGACGATGGACTACGATATCCCTCTATCCTTTCCCACGCTTGATTGGGGCTTCACAAATACCACCTGCTTTGTGCAGGTAAACAAGGCTGCGCTTGGTGCCTATCGACTCTCTTCAGCAGATARYGGTCGGGTGTTATACCTGATCGACAACGATCAGAAGAATGATATGACCCATTGTATCTTTACCGATAACGGATGCGGGGTTGCTTTTGTAAATGTGTGCCCTACGGAGAAAATTTTCGAGTGGGTCCTCGACAGTGTTGCCGAAAGCCTCGCTACCTTCGTGAATGCACTGAAAACCGAATTAGGAATTCCTTTCGACAAGGAAAACTTTGAATTACCGGCGACAKCATCGGGSGCAGTTTTTCTCTACGTAAATAATGATGTTGTGAGTTTTGATGAAAATGGAGATAGTGGCAAYAGTACAAAAATATCTATGGACTCCTCTATCGATAATGAAAATGTGTCTGGCGGGGCCGTCGTTTTGGCTGATACTGCCACTGAAAGTGCCGAAGCAACCGATCGCGACAGTGGAAGTAATTTCGAACGATACTGCGCCCACGCGTTCTACAAMACAGTTGTTTTTGTCGGTCTTGGGTGGGTAGTTTTTCACTATTGAAGCAGTGACCGACATTAATATTGGTAGCACTGCCCTACATGTACAAAGAGATTCCTAATCACTGCATTTGAAGATAATTTTTGGATGCACTACATCTGTGCAAAGCTCTCTTCGATCTCGGCTTGCTGTTTGGCATACGTGACCTGCGCATCTTTCATGGCATCAAATAGATCTTGCGCCGTTTCTCGCGCTTGCAATTGAACGGCTTCAGTCACATCCGCAACCTCCTCGTCGGGTTTCAGAATATATTCCATCCAGTAGAGACACCCATATGTCGTGAATAGCTCTTCTCCTTTCTTCACTTTTTTCGTCGTCAYTACCGCAAGAAGAGGAGAGGGTCCGAAGGGAATGTTGACACAATTTTTCCTCCGTTGACTTGCGGCGTAATAGTCAAGCATTCCCTGCTCACTATTCTCCAAAACAGTAGCCCCATCGTTCACTAAGTGACCGTTCCAGGGCGTGGACGCATCCGATGTTCGACCAGGATTGACATCGATGAAGAGCTGGGCGTCTTCGCCAAAATCAGCCGTGCCCAAGCGCCTCGACCCAAAGAGGTTCAGAAGGTAGTTCGACTTCGGTGTGTTATCAAAATAGGTCTGGTCTTCCGGTGTCAAGCCACAGCAGATCGATGATCCATCGTCAAATTCGACTCCGATTCCATCGACCGGAAAGAATCCAATAACGGTTCCTTTTTTTATGTTTTTGGTTGCAAAGAGGCCTCGACCCGCACCCGGGATGGAAGACTCGCCAGACGAGATTACCTTCCGAATACGTGTCTCGAAAGTTTGCATGCTATGTGATTCATCTTTCGATTGTGATAATTTGYTCATCTTCTCCAGAGCGTTTCGTATATCCACGAGGCGATCGTCGGTTGTATCATCCAGACCAAACGCTGGACGCGTCGATTGGTGTCGATGTAAGTTGTTGTCGCCGCATTGTCTTTGATTGAAAGAATCAAGAGCGGGTGCCACAAATGATAAGGATGAGCAGACAGCCGAAAAAAGTGCAACG